AGTGACATGTCATTTTCATCTATCTATTAGGACAGTTGTTAAATTCTATACAACAAATAAAGTTAAATCTGGTGAAAGTAGCAGCGTAAGCTATGGTTGTGTGAAAGAGAACTTTTGTAGTTTTGTATATCCAGGCCATTAAGAAACTGAAAGAAAGATTGGGCTTCTTTTATTGCTTATAATTATTTGTTGATATGTGTCTTGGGAATATTTAAGACTAGAATATCTTCCAAGTGCTTGTCATTGCTTTCATACAATAGGTTGGAATCCTACAGTCCTATGTCTATTAAATGCTTTATTTAAGGAAGGTAATGCTTTGCTTCTGTAATGCTGGTTCTTGATGTAATTACATCTCATATTCTTCAGAGCCAATTTACATGCATTGTCAGAGTTGTTACCTATTTGGAAGAGAGTGAATTGTAGCCGATATACCAACTGATCATCCCTCTTGTAGCAAACAACATGCAGTCCTTCAATATCGTTCGGTTGGTGTGCTACAACCATATCCTCTTAAGTTATCAACTAGTAGCCTTCTTTAACAAATTGTACATCCATATCCTGATGGTAAGGTGTCAAAGGCAGTAAGGTATAACACTTCATTTGTCCATATCCTTGAAATGCTAGTCACTATATCTGTTTCAAGACTCCTTGAAGAGCAGACTACTTTTCATATATCGCGACTTGTAAGAAAGCTTTCTAAAGTTTCCTAGGACTTCCCTATAGTTTGATTCTCATGCTTTTTGTCATTTGTTTTTTTTTTTTTTTTTTTTTTGTAATTGTGCATTAATTTGCTTAGAAGTGTCTACAGAAAGCTTCTTAGCAGTGAAATGTTTGAAAGTCGCACGCTTAAACCAAATGACCATTGTAATCTGTGAAATTAAATGCATGTTGATTGAAAATCTAAAGAACTGAATTAAATTTTCTGAAAATAAGGATGCAGGTGAGTTTAGCCTTTTATTTTTAAACAGTCCATTGGTTTCATTTTAAAATTATTAATAATTGTTTGTTTCTATTAATAATAGAGTACAAATTATATGAATTTGGCCTTTTCCTGTTATTTGGCAGGCCATACTTGATGGACCTTGGTAGCACGAATAAGACCTTCATAAATGTAAGCCATTCGTATTATCTTCTTCATTTTCTGTGATAATTATTCAAACTTCATATATTTTGTTAGGTGGCGTGACTCAATCTGTTGCATTCACGAGAAGGTCTTATTGAATCACAACGTTATTATGAGCTCTTTGCAAAGGATACCATTAAATTTGGTGATAGCAGGTAAATTTAGTAATGCCACAACATTATTATCCTGCGTCTATTAATTTACTTTCATGACCTAATATATGGGTTTCATTCTCCAGTTGAGAATATGTGCCTCTACGTGAAAACTCCAATACCTAATCTACCTCAGCTTCCTGAGTCTTACTTGATCTTAATATGCACAAGAATTCTTCCGGGATCTTCTTCCTGCAAATATGTGTTGCTAGTTTTCGAACAAGTTTGGCTCATGTTGCTGATCTCTCTGATCTGGACTGGTTTTTGTTAGATGACAGAACTTGAAAAGGTTTGTACTCAAAGTTAGATTAGTACCTTAGTTCTATTATCTTGTACTCCGTAGCAATCTGACGATGTTATTACCATATCTTTCCTTTCTTAGTTTCCCCCCCCCCCCCCCAACCTGGCATGCTATAATAGTTTGTGCTTGATTGGATTATTATGAAATGTAATTTATGTTTGAACATTATTATTTTTTTTTGTTTTTTTTATTTAAGGTTAGAAATATTGTATTATTATACGAAGCACGAAATAGTATAAGCGATCAAAGGATTGCGTTTTTATTTTATTTATTTTTTTAAATTTTTTTAAAGGTCACTCGAGTATCCTAACCCTTAAATTTTACTTTGAATGTAAAGTGATGATAAATTGATTTTACTTTGTCTAGGAGTTTAGATTTAGAGCTCTGTGCACAATTTCCTTGTCTATGAAGTTTTACCCACTTTTATCTTATGGTGTCTGCCAATGGCTTTTTAAATATTTTTTGTATTTTGATGCTTGTATTTTGAAAATGTAACTTAGATAACAATAAATTTTCATAGGAGAAGAGATCCTCCTAAAGAAAAAGAAAATCCTGTTTTTTGAGGGAGAAAAAAAAATCCTCTTAGAAGAGGAAGTATTATTATAAACCAAAAAACCAAATACAACAAAGAGAAAACACACATAAGAAGCGAAAATTGGGGCTTTTCACCAATATAAAACTTAATAAAGGAGGAGTATTAAGCTTAACTTTTGTAACACTTTTTATATACACATGAGTGCACATAGAGGTAGGTGCATCATGAGTAGTTTCTTTGCTCATTTGAATTTGATATTGCTTACTTAAAAAGAGCAAAAAGAACAAAAAGTACTCCTAGGTGCACAATGTACCTGTATATATATAAATTTTTCTATAACTTTTGCAATACATGCAATTACAACCTTAGGTGCACATTAACATATTGTAACATACTCCGTATATACACAAAGTATCTCCATACTCAGTGCTTAATATTCCATTTTGAAAGGAGAGAGTGGATGAGATTTGACTCTGGCTCTGAAATCATGTTAAAGAATCAACATAACCAAAATCTTAAGCTTGATGGTTGGAGCCTCAAGCCTAAGATTGGTTCTATCAATAAACTTAAATTGAATTGATTACGTGCTTTCACTTTTATTAACTTAACAAACGAATATTGTGTAAATTGTGATGACGTATCATAGACAAAGATTTTTCCGAATTCGCAGTGTTAGTAGTTAAGGTTAAAGAAGGAGAAGAAGACAAAGAAAGGGTTAGAAGAGTCTTCAGTGGTGTGTTAGAGGAGAGAAAAGTCTAGAGGTAGGAAAATATGAACAAGAGTAGAGGACATGAAAATCTGGAAGAAAAAAATGCACATTCTTTTTAGTATGATCTATTCGGTTTATCAGAACTTACCTCCAACAAAATCTGTCGTCCATTGGGATTTGAAAATGTACAGTAGAAAACAAAAATTTTAAGAAAAATGCGAACAACATAGTAATTAAGGTTAGAGAAGGAGAAGTATACAAAGAAGGGGTTAGAGGAGTCTTGAGTGGTGTGGTAGAGGAGAGAGAAATCTAGAGGTAGGAAAACGTGAACAAACGTAAAGGACATAAAAATTTGGAAGAAATAAATGTGCATTAAAATTTATTTAGTATGGCCCACCCGTTTTTTTACAACTTAGCTTCAGCTACATCCTCCCATCCTTCCACTGGGATTCGAAAAATGTAATGTACAAAACAAAATTTTTAAGAAAAATACTAACGACATACTTCGTAGTAGTTAAGGTTAGAGAAGGAGAAGAAGACAAAGAAAGGGTTAGAGGAGTCTTGATAGCTCAAGAGTCTTGAGTGGTGCATTAGAGGAGAGAGAAATCTAGAGGTAGAAAAACGTGAACAAGTGTGGAGGATATGAAAACCTGGAAGAAAAAATGTGCATTAAACTTTTTCTAGTATGGCCCACCCGGTTTATCAGAACTTAGCTCTGCTCCAACTACATCCGTCTATTGGGATTCGAAAATGTACTGTACAAAACAATTTTTTTAAGAAAAATGCTAACAACATAGTAGTTAAGGTTAGAGAAGGAGAAGAATACAAAGAAAGGGTTAGAGGAGTGTTGAGTGGTGTGTTAGAGGAGAAAAAAAAACCTAGAGGTAGGAAAACGTGAACAAGTGTTGAGAACATGAAAATCTGGAAAAAAAATGTGCATTATTTTTTTTAGTATGGCCCACCCGGTTTATCAGAACTTAGATCCAACTACATTCTTCAGTTGGGATTCGAAAATGGATTGTAAAAAACAAAACTTTAACGAAAAATGCTAACAACATACCAGTAGTAGTTAAGGTTAGAGAAGGAGAAGAATACAAAGATAGGGTTAGAGGAGTCTTAAGTTGTGTGTAAGAGGAAAGAGAAGTCTAAAGGTAGGAAAACGTGAACAAGTGTGGAGGACATGAAAACCCGAAAGAAAAATTGTGCATAATTTTTTTTTTTTAATATGGCCCACCTGATTTATCAGGACTTAGTTCCAACTACATCATTCCATTGGGATTCGAAAATGTACTGTACAAAACAAATTTTTTAAGAAAAATGCTAACAACATAGTAGTTAAGGTTAGAGAAGGAGAAGAATACAAAGAAAGGGTTAGAGGCCATAGGAGTCTTAACCGCTCAAGAGTCTTGAGTGGTGCGTTAGAGGAGAGAGAAATCTAGAGGTAGGAAAACGTGAACAAGTGTAGAGGACATGAAAATAAATCTAGAAGAAAAAATGTGCATTAATTTTTTTTTAGTATGGCCCGGCCCACCCGGTTTATCAGAACTTAGCTCCAACTACATCTGTTCATTGGGATTCGAAAATGTACAGTACAAAACAATTTTTTTAAGAAAAATGCTAACAACAGAGTAGTTAAGGTTAGAGAAGGAGAAGAATACAAAGAAAGGGTTAGAGGAGTCTTGAGTGGTGTGTTAGAGGAGAGAGAAATTTAGATGTAGGAAAACATGAACAAGTGTGGAAGACACGAAAATGTGAAAGAAAAAATGTGCATTAAATTTTATTTTATTTTAGTATGGCCCACCCGGTTTATTAAAACTTAGCTCCAACTTCATCCACCCATTGGGATTCGAACATGTATAGAAGAAAACAAAATTTTAAAGAAAAATGCTAACAACATATTTTGATAAGGAAATTGTTGACGGTACTTTAATGTTTGGTCTTTTCTGAAATATTGCCACAAGCTAACCATAAAATTAAGGCAATAATTTAACTAACTTCAAGAATTCGAACTTGTACGCGAACTTGCAGCACATATTTGCAGGAAGAAGTAAATTAAGATCCTAGATTATATAATAAGCATTCTATGAAAAATAAACTTAAAAAGTACTAGTACGTAAAAATTAAATTTGACAAAGTAATAATTTGAGATTGGCTAACATAAATCGTCATAAGTAGCAGAATCAGATAACTTGAACAACTTCTTTCACTTGCGTTCCTTCGTAGATGACACCATCTTGAGAGGTGACTTGAACCTTAAATTTTGCATTGTTCTCCTCAGCAAAATCTTTCATGCAGATAGCAATTTCCTCTCCAATTTTATTAGCAGCCCTTAAGACGAGTTTTTTTAAGGCACGTCCATATTTAACAAAATTACTTAACAGATTAAATTCATTTGGTTTTCCTTGAAACCCTATTATTTCCACAACTTTCAACTTATTTGGTACACATCCTCGTGCACTTGGGATCAATCTATCCCAATATGTTAAAGGGCTCGTAGGCGCATAGTAGCCATAGTACGCCATGTCTTCCTGTTACACGAAATTGATTTAAACCATCAAATTAAATACTTTGTACGAGTATGAATTATATCCAACATATATACTTGTGAAAATTACAACCAATTTGTAAAAATTAAATAATTCCAAGTAGTTGATTAAATCCACTAATTTTTAATTAAGTACAAGGATTGTCCTAGTGTTTAAAATTGTATCCTCAAATATATGTGATTATTATTTTAAAATAATGTTTTCGATAATTGACTAATTAATTGAGAGCTAATGTAACATTACCTCGAAAATGATATGTTCACCATGCTCGAACCCGACTTCCTCCACCAAAGGGGAACTATCTAACAGAATAGATATACCCTCAAATTCCAATTCATGCAAAGCAGTTTTAATTGTCAGATTTCTCGCATGGTTTCTCGCAGGGTTTACATCTACAAGAGGAAGTACCTTCATAGTAGAAGTTAAAAAAAAAGTTATATACTCCGCATTTATTACATGTATAATAACCAGCTAACTGAATAAAGGTAGGTATAAAAAAAATTAATGAAAGTAATGTAAAATATAAACTAGTTATAAGATGACGTTACACCCTCCATCACATAATATAGTGTCATTTTTTATAATAATAAATTGTTTCAAATCAAGACTTTGACAATCAATATTTTTAATTATATACTCATAATCAATAATATTATATTAAAAAAAGACCGATAATATAAAATTGCATATTAAGACGTTTTCACCAAGATGTCACATGATTATGTATTTTGTATACATTGGGGTCAAAATTTTAGATACTTTATTATAGGATAGATGGTATACAATTCATTTCACATTTTTTAATAGGTGTATTATGCTCACATAAATTCATAAAATCAGACACTTATGGAACCCACGAGATGTTGATCAAAATTAAACATGGCATATGTAACGGTTATATAAAACTTTTTCGAGATTAATTTTCTAAGACAACTGTCACTATACCAGTTGTCACTTTGGTGATGCAGTCCTCTCACAATTCACAAAAGGGAAGAAAAAAAACAATAAAAACTGTGTTATGTCAATTGACAATAAAAGCCTCTCACAAAAGGGGGAAAATAGGGTGGTTTTCAATCAAAATTATTTTTAAAAAATAATAATAATTTTTATTATTTTAATACTTTACAAGAGGGTGTAGTGGTTTGTACCGCGTTACATGTACAACAGTTATATAATTATTTTTTTCAATTCCAGTGATAAAAAAATTATTAATAAGGCGAAAAGAAATAGAATTATACCTGCATTACGTAACTGCTAACAATCAAAGACCTTGCGGGGCTGAGGCAGTCAAGAAGACGGACAATCTGCTCACCATGTTCCTCAACAAACATTCCGACGAAGCCGAAATCTAAATCGGCCGTCTGCAATTTATCAGACACGATGATACCAAATTGTACAACTTCACCACAATACTTGAAATTTATAAGATTAGTTGCAACAATTGTTAAGCTTAACAAATCAACACATTTGTCGATGACAAGCGTCTCCAATGTGTTGGATTCAATCACATAATCGGTTTCATCAAAACACTTAGACAAACTTAAATATTCGATTTTCGGACAACTTAGCAACAATCTCCTAAGGGTCGATACGTCTTCTATGCTAACCCACGCCAAAGTGACACTTTTTAAAGTACGACCTATAGTCGTGAACTTGTCGTCCATAAATCGGCATGATACCAATTTTAAGGACTCTAAGTGGGTGTAATAATAGACAAAGTTCGGAAGATCAAACTTTTCAAGAGTTGAATCGGCTAAAGGGAGTTTTTCTTCCCAACTTAGACACGAAAAATCGAGTTCTAGAGACTTGGTGTTACGTTTAAGGGCAAGCCTTATGAGTTTTTCAATTTTATCTTCCCAATTTTGAGGGTTGGAGAAAGTAAGACTAAAAGATGGGATAGGAAATTTTTCATGTAATAGCCACTTTAACCCGAACTCTAAGAAATGAAACTCTCGGATGAATTTGTGATTTTGCCCTTTAAGTTTGATATTTGAGTGTTGTTGATCAAATCCGGTGAGAGGGGTGGCAAAGAGGCGCTCGTTTATTTCTACATGAGGTATGGAACGCCACAAGTACCGCCATTGCTTTTCTAAGATGCTTGTCCTAACAGCGTCTTTGATGGGAAGAAGTGAGACAATGGTGATGAGAATTGTCTCTGGGAGTAAAGAGAGACGGTTTTCAAAGGGGGCCATTTTCAGGGAGATATAAAAACTAAAGATTGGTGAATTCTTTTGGTGTAGGAAAATGGGAAGATTTAAGGAGAAATTTCTAGGAAGTAAAACGTAACTTTTGCATGTAATAATATTGAAATATCGATATCATATCCTTTTATATTGGTGATGGTTCACAACAATAAGAGAAGAAAAAAAAAATCATGATTTGTTACCAAAAGAAAGTTGATTCTTTTACCTTTTTATTTTGGATACTTTTGGATAGGATACATGAATATGAATGTATGCACTGATTACAGCTTTTCACTCATTCATTTGATAGTAATAGCATGGATAAGATGAGCTTATTAGCATTATTGGAGTATTCATATATAATTCAAAGAATAATGTCTGCAATTTAATTGATTCATAAAGATAGTCAACTATTTCTATGATTTATTTCCATTATGTTTTTAAGGTTTAAATGGGCTTGGCAGTCATCTATTTCCAACCAAAGCAAATTATTTAAATTTTAAGAACTTTTAAAAAGTTAAGATTTTCTTAAAAAAAAAAAAAAGAATTATAATGTAACGAAATTATATGAAAGTTAAAATTTAATTCTAACATATGAAGTTCAGGTTAAATTTTACCGAAGTAAAGAAACAAATTCCAAGAACTTATAAAAGCTAAAATTTTTGATAAACTTTTAATTAGAAGTTAGTTGATAAGATTCAATGTTAACAAACTCGTAAAATTTAAGATTCTATTTCAAAGAACCTTTATTAGAGGTTAAGATTCGATTTAAACTTACTCATAGAAATTAAGGTTTTATTTTGATAAACTTACAGAAATTAATATTCAATTTTCACGAACTCATAAATAGTTGTGATTTGATTTTAATAAACTTAATAATCTTTTAGAGGTTGAGATTCAAGTTTAACGAACTATTAAAAAGTTTAAATTAAATGGGAACGACCTTTAAATAAAGTTACTGTTAGAGATGTTGAAACTCGTTGTTGCTATTAGATTATTGGAATTGAAACTAGTTACAAGATCTATGACTTCGTGGATCTAAGTTCGTTAAACTAATAGATCATCTGATCATTTATTATACACATGAATGTTGTCGTATATATGTTAGTATGTTACGTGCAATATAATATATGCATTTCACAAGGATGTGATGAGATGATCCGTGATGTAATGAACTTTTAGAAGTTAAGCAAGATTCATATTTAAATTAATTTTGTGGCGCAACTCTAGAAGTTGAGATCGATTTAAGTTCAAACATCATTTAACAGTTAAGATTTTGATGTAACGGACTTTAAAAGCTTACGGCTAGATTGAGATGTTTGTTGAAATTTGTTGTTGCTAATTTAGTATTTTAACGAAATCCAGCTAGTTACCTAAAAATAAGGTAAACTTTATGATTGACGTAAATCTAATAATGTTAAACATACCGGCTTTTCCATTAATTACACATACAAGTAGAAGATTTGTTGTATATTACGTACGTGTAATTTATGCTGCTACAGGAATGAAGTAATCTGTGAATATTAAGAATAATTTTTAATTTTAAAAACTGGTTGAAAGATGTAACTCTTTTCGTGGAACTATGAGTTGTAATTCAAACTTTATGCCCATATAAAAGGTGTGCCTAATTGAAGGACTCTGGCCATTCTTTCCTATCTAAAGTGCTGCAAACTAGAAGAAACACAACAGGGGATCAAATCAAATTGTTCTAGTGTTGTTAAGGGTTTCAATATCATTCCTCGTTTCAATATGCTGAATGCAAGGCGTTACGCTAGGAGCAAGGAGGGCTAACCTTAAACTAAGGGAAGATGCACCAAGTGCATGAAGTTGACTAGACAGCAATCTAAGCTCTTTTGTAATATGATGCCTGCCTAGTTAGAAATTTAGTCCACCCACTAGCTAAAAATTGATGAGCCACTTGAACAACTAAACATATTTACACCAAATATTTGCTTGGTGGAGTATATGGGGAACTCACCTTGTACTTGAGGTTACAAGTTCGAGCTCCACCAACAACAACATTTATTTGGGCATATTTATGTTAATACCTTCAACATTTTACATTACTTTTATTCTTCTAATGACCTCAGACTTAATTAATTGGATCTCCTTTATTTTACGATTTTATCCAACTTCATACAAAATCTTGATTCAGAAAATCCTCAATGATTCCCACTCAATATAATTGTTGAGCTAGTTACTGTAATAATAATAATTAAAAAAAAAAAAAAAACCTTCACGTTGTAGTGTATATAAATTACTTTCTCGGCTCATTTCTATGGTTCACTTTGATTTTCACGGTCTTCATAGTGTACATATTTGAGCATATACGAAATCAACAAATTTGATCAAATATACTAAATAATAAAGGAAAAATTAATTCTAATAATCCCACCTTTGGTCGGTTCGCTGTTAATAATCCCACCTTTAGATTATTATTTAATAATCCCACCTTTATAGGGGATCTTCTTCTGTTGGTCCCTAACCTGTTGATAACCGGTTTTTACAGGTTAATATGCCATGTGTCGTGTTTTAATTGGTTGAAAAATAAAACCTAAAAAAAACTGAAAAAATAAAAAACAAAACAGAAAAAATAAAAAACAAAACTGAAATAAAAAGAAAAAAAAACCCACCAGCCACCTCCTCGGCTCCACCCACCTAACCTTACCTCAGCCCCACAAAAACCGGCCGACCGCCACCCAAACCCCTGAAAATGGCCGGTCGGAACCCCCTATTACCAAAAACCACCCCACCGAATCCACCACAGCCACTACCGACCAAAATCAACCCCCCAAATCATCCCCTAACCCGAATCCCATCCCCCAAAACCACCACAGCCACCACCCTAAAGTCCCACCCAACCGCCGAAACCCCCTCTACTCGCCGACAATCCCCTAAACCGCCGTATACCACCGGAAATCCCTGAAACTCTTACCCAAATTCAACCTCAAGCCATCTCTTGAAATAAATTCATTGTTTTTTTAAAAAAAAATTCCTTGAAATTAAGGGCTTCGACGGTTTTCATGGGTGAGGGTTGGAATCGAGCCAGTTTTTGTCGGGGAAAGGTGGGAACGAGGTTCAGGTGGTGGGGATGGGGGTTCAGCGGTGGAGGAGGGGCTGCCGGAGGTCGGGGTTAGGGACCTTAAGGTGTTCGTTGGGGCTGGCTTGGTTAAAAAAAAATTAGGTTTTTTTTTTTTTTACCATTTTTTACCAATAATTTAGTGACATGTGTCACTCAAATTTTTTTTTTTACAAAGTTTACCCGTTGTTCAGGTTACCGGTCATGAGGGACCAATAGAAGAAGATCCACTATAAAGGTGGTATTACTAAATAATAATCTAAAGGTGGGATTATTAATAGCGAACTGGCTAAAGGTGAGATTATTAGAATCAATTTTTCCAATAATAAATTGATATTTTTAAATTCATTACAATAAACAAATTTATCTAACAACATCCCACATGAATAGTTTTGACTTTTATAGTCAAAGTTTATTTTAAATCAAAGTCAAAATGTAACATAGAAAAAAAAACCACAGGGATTACAACTTCTGACATTTAGGTTGAATCTTTATGAAATTAATTAAATTAAACTAGACAGTCCTAAAAATTCACATATTACCAATTCATTCTTGTTAGCATATAATAACGAAAAAGCTAGTTCGTTTAACATACATAGAATCACGCCAATCATTATTTTTTTTAAGGTGATTAGTTTGTCTTCTGATCCAATATGTAGCAACGACAAATTTTTACGTATAAATATAGTAAACTTTTAAAGATTCAATTCGTTAAAACTAAATTTCTACTTCTAAAAGCTCGTTAAAATTAAATCTTCACTTGTAAGTTATAAGATCACTAAAATCATATTTTATTTACTTTTTTTTTTAAAAAAATCTTAACTTTTAGAAATCCGTTAAATTTAAATCTCAAGTAATTTTACAAATTTATTAAAATAAAATCTTACAAACGTTTTTATGAGTTCGTTAAAATTGAATCTCAACCGCTAACAATTCATTAAATTTGTTAAAATAAAATCTTAACTATCTATAAGTTCGTGAATATTAAATCTTAATTTATATAAGTTCTTATCAAAATGAAATATTTTAATTAAATTTCTATGAGTTCTTTAAAATTGAATCTTAACCACTTAAAGTTTGTTAATATAAAACCTTATATTTTATGATCGAGTTCGTTAACATATTGAATCTTGACTTCTAGTTAGAAGTTTATCGAAAATATGGAGTAACTTTTTATGGGTTCTTGAAAATTTATTATTTACTTCGGTAAAATTAAATCTTAAGCTCTCTTGTTAGACTTAGAACTGAATTTTAACTTTTATAAGTTCGTTATATTATAATTCAATCTCAACTTAAAATTCCTTAAAATTTCAAGAAACTTTTTTTTTTTTTTTTTTTGTTGCAATGGATGATTATTAAAAGCGGGCCAAGCCCATTAACCTAACAAAATTCGTCATCAAACCAAAATGGAAATAAATCATAATGACAGTTCATTATTTTTGTAAAATCATAGATTATTAACAGTCATTATTCGTTACAGTATAAACACTCCAATAATACTAAGCACTTATCCATGCTAATTTAATATTATCTAATGAAAGTGAATGTATTCAGTGTATTCATTGATATATTCAATCCAATAGCATCCAAAAAAAAGGGTAAAATATTAAGATATCAGCTTTTCTTTTGGTAACGAATCATGGTAGTTTTTTTCCCCTCTTATTGTTGTGAACCATTATCAAAATCAAGAATATGATATTTAAAAATTACTTGCAAATGAATCATGATTTTATTATACACCTTTTTTTTTTTTTCTTTTTTTTTTTAACGGGTGGTTTTAGTTCTCTCTTATTGTTGTGAAACATCACCAATATCAAGAATATGATATTTCAATACTACATGCAAAAAGATACATTTTGCTTCCTATAAATTGCTCTTTAAATCGTCCCATTTTCCTACACCAAAAGCATTCTATCCCTCTCTTTTTCTC